TCGAATCCGCGAGACGAACGTCTACCGCATGGACCTGAAGGCGCTCGAACGGCGGGAGCGGGACGCGACCTACGCGTTCGTCACGACGACGTAGCTCGCTTTATTTACAACAGATTTTCACAGCCGGGGGATGCCCATCAGCGGACCTTGGCGGCGGTCTTCCCGCCGAGGAACTCGTAGGGCTTCGGCTCGGGGATCGCGGCCGCGACGGTCTCGAGGACGTCGAGCCGCGCGGCGGGCGCGCGCTCGTCCATGAGGCCGTGGGGCGCCGTCGCGTGGAGCACGCGCGCCGCGGCGCCGAAGACGACCGTCGCCGGCGCCTTGATGTCGTGCTCGAGCACGAGGTCCGCGATGTCCGACAAGTCGCCGACGACGGTCCGCTGCCGCGGGCTCGACGCCTGCTCGACGACGAGGGCCGGGCAGTCGCGGGGGAAGCCCTGGGCCTCGAGGCAGTTGGCGACGATCTTGCCCAGGCGGCCGACGGCCATGAGGAGCACGACGGTGCGGTTCTCGTCGTAGTAGGGGAGCTCCGGCGACGAGCCGTCGCGGCCGTAGCCCGTGGAGACGACGAGCTGGTGCGCGGCGCCGCGGTGCGTCACGGGCACGCCCGCCGCGAGCGGCGCCGCGAGGCAGCTCGACACGCCGGGCACGACCTCGGCCTCGAGGCCCAAAGTCTCCCGAAACTCGAGGATCTCCTCGCCGCCGCGGCCGAAGACGAAGGGGTCGCCGATCTTGAGCCGGATGACCCGGCGGCCCTCGTTGACGCCCTCGACGCACCAGTCGTAGATCTCGCGCTGCGCCTTCTCCGCGCAGCCGGGCGCCTTGCCCGCGACGCGGAGCTCGCCCTGCACGAGACTCCGGATCTCCGGCGACACGAGGCGGTCCGCGACGACGAGCGCCTCCGGGTCGCTGATCAGGCGCAGGGCCGCGACCGTGAGGAGCTCCGGGTCGCCGGGGCCCGCGCCGACGAGCGTCACCGTCCCCTTTTTCGAAAGGTTTTGGTCGCAGGCGCGCAGCGCGACGTTGCGGCGCGCCGCGACGGCCGGCGGCGCGACACGCCGCGGGGCGCGCTGGAGGGCCGCGGCGACGGCGAGCATGCACGGGAGGGCGCGCATGGCTGGCTGTGTTGCAGGCGAGCGTCAATTGCCGTGGCGCTTCGGTGTTGTCGTCACCTGCTCCTGCTGGCTTCCGGCTGGCAACGTTCGCCCAAAACAGCACGTTGAATAAGTACTTGAATAAGTGTTGAACGCTGAAAGCCGAAAAAAATAAACTCGACCTTCCGCAGCCGTCGAGAACGCCGCGCGGACGTAGGGCGACGAAGTAAATAAAACTCACGCGACCTCCCGCAGCAGCCCCGCGAACCGCTCCACAGCCACCTCGATGTCCTCGTGGGACGCCGTCGAGAACGCCGCGCGGACGTAGGGCGACGGCGCGTCGTGGGGGTCGAAGGACTGGCCCGGCACCAGCAGCACCTTCGCGTCGCGGCATTTCGACTTCACGAACGCGTCCGCGTCGTCGACGCCCCGCAGCCGGAGCCAGACGAACATGCCCGCCGTCGGCACCGTCCAGTCCGCGAGCCCCGTCAAGTGCGCCTCCGCGGCGCGGAGGAAGACGTCGCGCCGCGTTTCGTAGAACGACGCGACGGCCGCGCAGTGCGCCTCGAAGCCGGCGACGGCCGAGGGGTACTCCTCCGCCCAGGCGTCGAAGAGGCCGGAGACTAGCGCCTGGCTCACGCCGGAGCCGTGGAGCACGGAGGCCTGGGCGTGGAGCTCGATGCGCTCGACGAGCCGCGGCGGGCCCGTGCAGAAGCCCACGCGAATGCCGCTGCTCAGCAACTTGGAAAACGAGTCGAAGCGGAGCACGCGCTGGTCCGCGTCCAGCGACAGGAACGACGGCGTGCGCTCGCCGCCGAACTGCATCCAGTAGTAGGGGTCGTCTTCCAGCAAAATGAGGTCGAATTCCCTCGCGATGCCGTAGATCTCGCGCTTCCGTTCCAGCGAGAGCGACGCGCCCGTGGGGTTCCCGCCCACCGGGATCGTGTAGAGCACGCGGGGCCGTGGGCCGTCGTCGTCCCAGTGCCGCAAGATGGCGTCGAGTGCCTGCGGATCGAGGCCGCCGCCGTCCGTGGGCACGCCGACGAGCGGTACCCCCGTCGGCTGCAGGTACGCCAAGCTCCCGGAGTACGTGGGCGACTCGACGAGCACGGGCGGCTGGCCCTCGCCCGTGAACAGATCAAAGGCCTTGGCCAGCGCGTCCTGGGAGCCCGTCGTCGCGCAGATCATGCTGTTTGCGGCGCCGTGCTCCGAGCGCTGGAGCGCCTCGAGGTGCGCGCTCAGGCCGGGCGACCCGCGCGTCGGCCCGTACTGGAGCGCGGCCTCGAGCGCCGCGCCGTCGACGGCGAAGGACTTGCCGCGTTTCAATCGTACGGTCAAGGATTCGAACGGAAACGTCGACGCGTGGGGCATGCCGCCGCCCAGGGAGATCATGCCCGGCTCCGCGAGCAGGGGCTGCAGCGCGCGAATCGCGCTCGGCCGCCGCCGCAGGGACCGCGCGCTCAGGAAGGAGTCGTAGTCGATGGTCGACAGGCGGCGGCGGCTGTGCAAGAGCCGCTGGGCGCTGGCTCTGATGAGACGCGGCGCCATCTGATTGCTTGTGGCAGGACAGTGTTGAATTCAAGTTTCCCATTCCATTTGTGACTGAGAGCATGGCGGCCATGCAGCCCGCCCAAACCGCAAGCGACGACGACGAAACACCGACGCCGGAGCCGCCAAAGATACGCTGCACGCCGACGCCGACGGCGTCGACGACCGTCGGCGGCCTGCGCTACAAGCGGCTGCCCGCCGAGACGAATACGGAGAAGCTCTTCGAGTTCCGCCTCAAGGAGGGCAAGGCCGCGACGAACTTCCTCGGCGACGTGCGGTCCCTGCGCCACCACTTCGGCCGCGTCGCGGGCGGAAATGCCCTCGTCTGGGCCGCCTACGACAAGAGGGCGCTCGTGGGATTCACGTCGCTGGAGGCGACGGACGAGTACCGGACGCGCGAGACGAAGGGCCGGGCCTGGATCCTCTGCGAGCTCGTCGTCGCCGAGGGCCACCGGCGGCGGGGCATCGGCGCGCAGCTCGCGCGCGTCGCCGTCGACGCGGCGCTCGGCGTCTTCGCGGTCGAAGACGACGCCGCGGAGATCTACGCGCCGCTCCACGCCAAGGACGACGCCGGCGCCGGCGCCCTGCGCAACGCGGGGTTCGCCGAGGTCGTCACCTACGCCGACTACAAGCGCGGCGGCCGCGAGACGACGCTCCTGCGGTTCCGTAAGCCGAGTTAGAAATGTGTTTTAAGCGAAGAACGCGGGCGTCGCCGTCGCGGCGCGGTGGGCCTTCTTCGACGGCGACGTCGTGTCCCAGCGGTCGACGACGCGGTGCTGCGGGGCGGCCTTGCGGCGCTTCTTGGGGATGACCGGCAGGGTCGCGAGCACGGCCGCGTCGCGCGCGTTCATCTCGTGCAGCTCCCGGGCCTCCCGGACGAGGACCTCGTGGACGGCCTCGACGTCGACGATGGCCGACTCGGCCACGAGCAGGTCCGTCTCGAGGCCCGCGACGAGCGCCGCGAAGCGCGCGTCCGTGACCTTTTGCATCGCCGTCGTCGGCGTCGGCTCCCACGCTTCCAATGTCTGCCGCTCGACCTCTTTGAGCGCCGTGGGCGACACGACGTCGGCGGCGGGCCGGTGGGGCACGCCCAGCACCTCGAGCACGAGCTCGTTCTCCGAGTCGCCCCGCGCGATGGTCAGGCGGTTGCCCTTGAGGAGGCAGTCGCGCGCGCTCGCGGAGAAGACAGGCGCGCTCCGCAGCTCGTCGAGGCTGGGGTCGTCGGGTACGGGCGTCGCCGTCGGCAGGTCCGCGCCGTCGAAGTGGATCGGGTGGATCACGGCGTCGTCGTGGGGCCGCGTCGCCGCGACGACGTACTCGCCCTCGTGGCTAAGGAAGACGGACACGGACACGAAGTTTTTGGCCTTGGTGAAGTACTTGCGCGTCGAGTCGACCTTGTGCCAGGCTTTCGAGAGAAAGCGCTTCTCGGCGTACTCCGCCGCGGCGCGCTGCGCGTCCTCGGCGTCCTTCGCCTCCTTGTCGGCTTTTATTTTGGCGTCGATGGCGCCGACGACGGAGTGCGCCTCGAGGGCCTTCTGCTTCGCCTTGAGCTTCGCGCCGGGCGATGCGAGCTTGAGCTTCGCGGCGGACTTGCTCACGCGGTAGACCGCGGTCCAGGGGTGTACCTGCTGGCCCAGGCCCTGGGCGCGGTAGGCCTGGCCGA